TTTTTTTTTTTTTACTTCAATTTCTTTTGCTTTTTTTACTTTTCTATGGAATTACAGCGGCGGATGTCAGCCAAACTTCGATTTCTCAACCTGTTGGCCGGGAACTTCGGCCGACAGTACCCTGGAAGTTATGTGCCCATTTCGATTTTGCACTACAATCCCTTCCTGTGCAGAAATTTCCAGTAAAATTTTATTGTTGTTTCTTTGCTTTTTATTTAAATTCTACGAACGATAAATTAGCAAAAAAGAAAGATATTTCAATATTAAAAAGTACACTAAAAATTAATCATTCCAATAAATATGAATGAAAGAATATATGTATATATTTTTTCGTTCTTACAGTCAATTAGACAAAAATTCAGATGTGCTTTTTTAACAAAGTTGAATGGACTTCTATAGCATTAGTAAAAAATTTTTAGAAAGAGCTGTTGCTCGACGTTATTGCAATCCGGATGGTGTCTGGTCACTTCCGGACTACAATGCTTGCCTCGCTTTGACGGCTCATCATAAGGGTTGCTTTGAAGGATACTGTCATACGGTTTGTTTTTTTTTTTAATCAGATTTTTAATCTGAAATAGAAAAGTTGTTATTCTTTTTAAAATGTTTGCAGTTTTATGTGTGTTGCTGAAATAAATTCAGACAACATCTTTTATTTTCTTTTACTCTACCAAGTTATTCAGCTAAATTGAATTGTTCAGCAGTAAAAATATTTTTTTAAATTGTTGATGTGTAAACTTTCACCCTTTTTTAGTGTCCGGATCCATTTCGAGATGCTGTTATAGCAGTTTCAATGACACTAAGTATAATTTCTGTAGTGTTATTGACAGCTGCACTAATATTATTTTCATTATTCAAATCACTGCAATGTCGTCGTTTGACAATTCATAAGAATCTCGCAATGGCTTTCATATTAAGGTTTACTTTTCTTGCTATTTGGTCAGTTGCTCAAATTTCTAATCTATTCAAGGATTGTTCCGAATTCTATACGAGACCCAAGTTTGGTGCTTATGTAAGTATAATTACTGTTTATTATTACCTTTATTTTAGTAACATTTATAAAAAATGTGAACAAAAAAAAAAAAATTGATTGTACTCTCCCTTTTTCTTCCTCATTCAACAATCAAACGTCGGAGTGCAAAAAAAAAAACTTGACTTTATAAGTTGTCTAATAAATACTTTTAAAAGCTGTTTAGTTTTAATAATTAACAGCACAAAAACATTTTTTTTTTTTTATTGGTTGTTCATTTGTGTCACTTTTTTTTTTTTTTTTCTGGAATAGGTATATTATTCTTTTTGTTTCAGGAAGTGCTATGTAAACTAATTTTATGGTTCATAATTTATTCACAAGTAAGCAGATTTTCACACATACATTAAATAATTTAATTGTTGACATTAGTTGGAATAATGCTAACTTTTTTTTTGCTTAGCTGTTAAAGAAACTTTAGCAGTGTAATATAATTAGTTTTTATATACAGTACTTTATTCGTCTAAT